TTGAATTGATTTTAACTTCATTCATATGGAAAGGGGGGGAGTATAATTTTGTAACAATGCATATAAGAGTGCAGCAAAAAAAAAAGGGGGGGGGAGATTTAATGACAGGTTTTAACTCTATAGTATAATGAAGGCTCAGAATTCGCTTCTCCTTTGTCTTTAACAAATCCAGAATTGAATCTCGGAAATATTGAGGGTGCAGAAAATTAATATTTTTTTTTTTTAAATTCAGATTTAGAATATAGAAGATAAGAAAAAAATCTAGTTAATCGATTCTAAAAAAAATTTAAAACTTCTTAAAGAAAAATATTTCTAAAAAGGTTAAAAAAAATTAATAAAGGTCAAGTTTATCATATCTTAAGTCAGCGCCCTCAACCCTATGCTAATTCTGATGATGGATTCCCAATGAAAATGTTTGAAATTGATAAAAATTATTTCAGAAGAGTAATAAAGTATAAATTAGAAACAACTCAGCCAATCATAAATCTTTGAACAAAACTAATATACTAAAGAAAACTATATAAGAAACTGAATATACTAAAGAAAGAAAAAAAAGAGTTTTTCCATTGAAATATTTCTTTAAAAGCACGTTTAAAAACTTAGGAAAATATGAACTAAATGCACCCCAAAATGAGAAATAATAAATGTTTTAACTATAGATTCTAAAACTCTACATTTATTTTAAAAATTATCCTATTTAAACAGTATTAAATTAAAAGTAAACTATATTTGAAAAAAAAAATAATAAATAACTAGATCTAGAGAAAAAAACAATTTATGGCCATAAAAGCTGATTTCATTATATATATATACATTTATTTAAAGGTGGGCAGAGAGTGTTTTTCTTCAACATGGCCCAGCTTCACTTACATTTACAGGGGTGATTGTAAGCCCAAGGCAAAATTCCAGAAAATTTCTTGAGTTAAGAAAAAGAAGAAAAAAAAATAGTTTAAATTGAAAAAAAATTTAAACAAGTTTTTTTTTCCTTTTTCTCAATGTTTGTTAGTTTACTTAAAATATATTTAAAATTTTACCAGGGGTCTGTTTAGAAGAAATTTGGGTCCGTTAACAGACCCTTCACAAAATATCTTTTCATAAAAACGGACCCTTCACAAAGTATTTTAATTTAAAAACGGACCCTTCACAAAATAATTTATCTTTTAATCAGACCCTTCACAAATTTGTTTATCTTCATTATCGTTTTGTCAATAGAATAAACCCTTCCCAGGAAGGGGGGGGGGGAAGAAGACCAATATAAACGAACTAAGTTTTGTCTTCGGCAGACGCTTCTTCCTTTATTCGTACGAAATGAATATTAAGCTTTCAGCAGTATAGGCTAAATACCAAATATTTGTAGGTTGCATCTCTAACTTAGTAGCAGCAATTGGTGTTTATGTTTTAAATTTTTATTTTTTTAAATTATAATTTTACAGTGTTGAGCATAATCTTTTGTCTTTACAATTTAAAAACTCCTTGAAAAAGTTTTTTGCAATAACAGGATCCTATTTGCACAAATTCACAAAAGCAGGACCCTGGTTGAAAGAATGTGACTTAACGTTTATTTTATATTCACAAATTACGAGTAATATTTTCACAATTTTGCAAAAACAGACCTTTCACAAAATGTCTGGACAGACCCCTGTTTAAGCATACCTATACCATTTACAGATACCTATGATGACCTGGAGAAGTAATTAAAATTTACAAATATGTCTTTCTTTCTTGAGTTTATGATTATAACAACTATTTACTGATAAAAAATGAATATCAATCATGAATATAAGCTTATAAAGTATCTCTCTGGCTCTCCCTTATTACAAACAAATAAAATAAACTGTGTTTTTAAGGCCCCTACGCCCATGACCTTTGAAAATTTGATTTCCGGAAACTTCTGTGATCCATGATTTTTTTAAACGTCTGGATCTATCCGTATTTTTTCCGGAGCACAATCAGCCCTGCATTTTACAGGGGTCTGTCCAGGCCGAATTTACTACCGTTTATCGGTACCTTCACAAATTCAACTTTAGTATAAACGGTAGTTTCACAAATTCACATTTAGGAAAAACTGTAGTTTCACAAAATACTTTTTCTTAAAATTTTATTTTTGTANAAAAAAAAAAAAAAAAAAAAAAAAAAAAAAAAAAAAAAAAGAATTATCTTAAGGCCTTTTTCAATTGTTTAACAGAATAATAGATGTGTGCTGTGGATGGCTCAATTAGAAAATAATATTCACATTGTAAAATTAGTTTCTAAACATTTATACTATTTTTTAAGTGAATGCATTTAAAGTAACTCATACTTTATTTTTTTAATGCATTCTTTAAAATTTGTAGAAAACAGAGGAAGTAGTAGAACTAAATTATACTGGTAACTTTTTTGTTACTAACCAACTGTTACATTTTGTCTCTCTTTTTTTTTTTAATGAAAACGTTATTACTCTTCTGTTTCAGATTCTTCTCAAGAGGTAAATAACATATACAGTCCAACCACGTTAATGCAAAGTTGGCGGGACTATCAGAATTAATTCATGTTAACCAGATTTCATCTAATCTGATGTGTCATGAAAACAATTTATTTTGTAATATTACTACATATTATATACTACACTAATGTAAGTAAACACTACTATGTAAAAAAAAAAAATTAAAATAAGCTTAAAATTTTTAGCTACTTTATTAACTATTTAATTTAATTTTTTTTTTTTTTTAATTTCTTTGCTCATCTGCTTTTTTTTTACAATAAGGAAAAATAGAAACATGATTTTCCAAAATGAATAAGTGGCAGTTTATTCACCTGATTATTATGTGTGCTCTATCCAGCTTCCTTTCATGTTAAGCGATAATCAACTTAAAAATTTCATGCTAAATATGTAAAATGCAATAATAATTTATTGCGGACACAAGGGACTAAACATGTGCTTCATGCAAAGCGATATTTTGTGCTAAGCGATTTTGTGTTAATAAGGCTCGACTGCAATGAAAATAAATGCAAATAGATACAATTCTACTTTTAAATTTGTACTCACAATAAACCTTAAAGCATTAAAAAAAGTTTTTTAAAGCATAAAAAAAAAACGTTTCGACTAAATTAAATGATTGAGAAACTTTTCTTCCCGATCAGTCTTTGAGTTAAATTGTAACTTAGATAAGATCTTAATTGAAACTGAAAAAAATAACTGAATGAAAATTCACTTATTTTAATAGGATACAAGAAGAGATAAGATCTTAATATTAAATGAGCCAAAGGTCTTGAAATATAAATATGTAAAAAAGAAATTCTTTTAAACAAAAACTGGGAAAGGAGTATTTTATAGAACATTCAATAAAAATTTCAGCTGTATTGGTCTTCATTTAGAAATCAAAAAACCAATTTTAAAAAAAGGTGCGCTTGAGTAGTTAATTGCGTAGTGTGCTTGCGTAAAACGGTGTCAAGTGTAGTTAATTCACATCAATGATTTTTAACAATCAATCTATATAATTATACAATTATAAAAAATATAGAAAGCAGAAAATTTTTTCAGACAATTAAAGTAATTTTATGACTTTTTAACTTTGCATAATCAATGAGAAAATGAATTATATGAAATTGATTTCTATAAAATTGATTTCAGTTAAGTTGGGTTTTTGTCTTTTTTGACTCCAGATGATTTTAAAATATTTCAATTTGATAAAGATGACTTTGTACAGTTTAAATCTTCAATAAAAATTTTACAAGTATAAAATTTTATTGCATATATTTATAAAATAACAGCATCATGATAATTAGCACTTTCATTTCCAATGGGATCGGCAAGTTTTTGAAAGTTATAACCACGGATTAAACAATCATGTCAAAAACCTAAAAATTACACATTGATTTCGATTAATAATTTAAATAGCAAACTGCAGGTATGCTTAAATGTCAAATATTAAATACTGCAGGTATACTTTAATGTCAAATATTAAATACTACTTTTCTTATACAATGAAAATTTTACATTGAAAAAGAGCATCTTGAAAAAAAAAATCATTTTATTTTGAAAATATACTTTAAACATAGACAGCTGCTTGCCTCAGGAAAAAAATTATGACTAATATTCTGAGATAAAACTTTTGGTAACAAATGCATAGTTGAAACAACTCTCAGTACTTAAAATTATTGCAGTTCATTTTTAGTGATGGCTAATTTTGATTTAAAACTAAATTTGTAAAAAAAGGAATCTTAATCAGGTAAATATTGAATTATGTATACAAACTTACACAATAAAACAAAAATTGTCAACTACATATTAAATTCTTTTGCAACCCCAATATAAATAGTTTAGCTACGAAACTAAAATAACAATTGTATTATATTTTTGATTCAAAAATCTCTGAGAAGACAAAGAATTCTAAAAAAGTATGAATACAATGTGATTTTTTTTCTTCTGCTCAAAACTATTTTTTTTATTGTCAAATTAGTTTTAAAATAATAAATATAAATTAGTTTAATGTCTTAAATACACTATAAAAAAATTACTTCACATACATTATAATTATCATTTGGATTTTTTATGAATTAAATCAGTTCCTGTTGCCTATCACGTCAAAAACCCAGCCCACATTTTTTATCCATCTCTATAAATACACCAAAAAGAAAAAACGCAGTGATGCTTTACTACTTTGTAATTGTCCTCAATACAATGTATTCACTTGATTATTGCCCCCCTTTTACCACCCCTTTTGCCACGTCTCTTTAATTAATAACAAAATTTCATTTTATTTAAAAATGGATTTCCCCCCCTTTTTTAAATAGCTAAAATACTGTAAAAGCACATTCGGCAAAAGAACATTAAGGGTTTCAGAACAGAACAGAATCTAGGGTGATTCAGATCACCCTAGGCAATCAAAGATAAATCCTTTCCATTTAACATAAGATGAGAATAGATCGAAGTTATTACATAAAATAAATATCTATATTCCAGTTTATGTTCATATATAATTCATAGTTCAATAAGTAATGAAATTTTAAACAATACATACCATATTCTATAAAACTTGAAACTGTTTTCTCACGTCTCAGTGATGAATTAAAACATTCATCATATAAAACCACCAATCCATCCACAAGAGTTTCCACTGATATTGTTTTTCCATTTTTCGCATTAGAACATTTCAAAAATATTTTATCTAACTCAGCAGCTAACTCCTCGGGTGGTCTGCCAGACATTATCAAATGAAACAATTATTCTTGCAATCTCTGCAGTTACATACCTTAAAGAGTAATAATTGTAGATGAAGTCAGTATTGATCTGTGAAAAAAAAGAAAATAGCTATAGCTAAGCATTTTTTAATGAAAATTCAAGTTAGAGATTTTCAAATTAATATAAGACATGGCAAAATAATTAATTTCTCATAGCATCTTAGTCACAAAACAGCAGTCTTTACAAGCATAATTACAAACACTTGTATTTCATATTTAATATTTTAAGAAACTGGGAGATAATGTTGGCATAATAAATGAAACACATATTTGCAGTTCTCAGAACCAACTTAATTGATTTTACCCTAAAACTTCATTTTTGAAGTGTATTTTTAAAGAATTTAAGTAGTTGTCATTTTTAACTTTCCATATTTCAAAGCTGATGCCCTTAATTTAAAATTGCACTTTAACTTGTAGCAATTTTTTCCCTTATTCCTACTTTTTTTGCCATTTTTTCTTAACTGTTTAACATTGTTTACATAAAACTACACTATTTTTAATTTAATTTTTTTATTAAACATATTTTAAAGACATAAATCTTAATTTAATAAATTAGTTAACAGGCAGGTAGGACAAAGTACAAAAGCTTAACTGAAATATATTATTTAAATCAGTTGAAAGAAGGTTTGTATCCAAAATCTGATTATAAATATGATTGGAGAAATCTCTGAGCCTTAAAATTCAATTTAGCAAGATGTGCTTTGAAATCTCGGTACACAATCAAGAAGAAATTTTGAAGCACTATGTGCATATATTTCTCTATTATTTCACACATAAAGCAATTAAAAACTCATTCAGCAACATCATCTACAGAGATCATCAGAAACAAAAGGTTTTGCAAAAGAAGATGCTGTATAAGATTAAAATATTATCACAAATTAAGAAAAAAAAGACTATAAGTATCTTAAACAAAACAGAACAAAATTAACTGATATGATATTTTGAAGGTGTCAATTTTATTTAAAACAGAGTTTTGAAAATATAATAATACCTGCTAAGCTCCTAACATAATAAAATGTCTTACGACTAAAAAAAATAATATGGTAAATTGGAGAGAAAAAATCTTTAATGCGCTATTCTTCAAATACTATTTACATTTATTTCCTCATAAATAGTTTAGAAGTAATAACACAAAAATTTACATTAAAATTAAAGCATTGTTTTTAAAAATTTCAAATTTTTTTATATATATTAATCCTTATATCTCTTTAATTTAATTGCTTTAAATTAATTTTTATTATAATAATCCCTATCATATCTCAATTAATTAAATTTTCAATTAATGCTGATTAAAATCAGGGTTAGGTTTTTGATGTCAAAAAGTGGTTTTTGACATGACAAGGGTATAATACTGGTTTAAACCATCAAAAACTGAAGTTTGCCGAGAAAATATATAAACTTCAAAACTACCAACAGTTGCCATGCATTATATTGAAATTTAATTATACTATAGGTAATCAGCAGGTTTTAAAATATTTTTTAATTAAAATTAAGGTAAAATAACAGATTTAAAATCTCAGAAATTTATATTCAAATGCATGTGCAGAAAAATTTTGCACAAAAATTGTTTAAATATTTATATTT